ATTTGTTCAAATTCATTTTCAATAGCTTCGTTTTCTTTGATCTTGTAGTGAATGTATCTATGACACGAGGTGATTTCCTTTTTACTTTCTTCAAAAATTCGAGACGTTTCTTTGAATTCGATTAAAATTTGTCTGTTGTTCGTTCATTATGCCATCATTGGACGGGTTTTTCACTTTCATCGCTGTGTCTTTCTTGCAGAGTTACTTATCATCGAAAACCGTTTGTATGTCTGGTCAAACAAAAGCTGGACGGATTTATGACGTGAAGAATCTTTATGGATTGCAAGAAAGCATCGCTACTGAGAGTGCTCTTCACTTGGCAACCTCCAAGCGTGGTGCTGTCATAACCAGGTCAGAACACCTCTTCAGTGATTCGACTGACCATTTTACTGTCCATCTGACAAGCAATGAAATGTTTGAGTGCCGTACTGATATTCTGTTGGTCTGAATGTATCACTTGGAGATGCCTGGCAAACCGATCAATTATTGCACATAAGAGAATACATGAACTTACTAACTTACTGAAAATTACCAACTTACTGAAAATTCACAACGCTGACTATGAGCGATGGACATTGCAGTTATATTGTATTTCTCATTGCTAAATCATATGCATTAACACAGTGAACCTATTGCCAGAACACTGAATCACAATTTGTAATGGTCTATTTCACATGAACGAATTACTCCAGATCCTCATATCCATCAGCGGGACACTACGCTGGTCATTGGCTTGGAGATAACTCGGCGAGTTGGTCTGATCTTAAGACGTCGGTCATCGGTATTCAAGAATTCAACATTTTTGGTGTACCATATATTGGAGCTGATATTTGTGGTTTTCTTGGCAACACCACGGAAGAGTTGTGTCTTCGCTGGCAACAACTTGGAGCTTTCTATCCATTTTCAAGGTCGGACTTTATTACTGACTTGACAGTTTAATGTATTCCAGGAGCTGAACTCCGGCAGTGAATAATTAAAATTGCTCAAATATTCTGTTGACATTCCTTGTTTGGATCATACTCGCAATCCGCAAAGAACAACTCGAAAACTGGTGTCCTTGAAAATATGCCTCGATAAAATGTTTCTTCTAAAAACAACATACGACGATCGTCTCGATCGAATCGTTCAATCGAATGTACCCAAATTTCAGAAATCATAATGACAAAGGCGCACTGCCACAACATCCCACTATGTGGCCTAGCGTTCAAGAAGCTACTCGTGAAGCGAATTTGTTCAGATATGAGTACTTGCCATATCTTTATCTGTAAGTATTCATTCTATCATATGGATTAGAGAATTCATTATCAGTTCTCATAGTAACCATGATCAGTTCTGATAGTCATCAAGATGAACTCTTAAAAATCAGTTGCTGTGATGGTTTTCAGTTGAATCCAGATTACGTATTCGATGAATTTGATGTTCTCCTTTGAAGCGATAAGTTTATAGCACACTGAAACGTTCTTCTGCGATAGAATGTGAATATTTGATCAAGATTGCGATTGTTTGAAAGCGAAAATATTCTGCAGATTGCACTTCGAAGCATCTCGATCCGGCGGTACTGTGATTCGCCCAATTTTCTTCGAATTTCCCAATGAT